GGAAGTGGGACTGAGGCTCAAGTGGTAGAGCGCTAGCCTTGAGCTGAAGAGCTGAGGGACAGTGCCCAGGCCCAGAGTTCAGGCCCCATGACCGGACCCAAAAAACAAAACAAACAAACAAAAAAAACCAAATCTTGAAGTTGAGACAGAAGAGGATGGGGCTGAAGATATGAAAGCATAAGGATTTAAGGTGGTGAGTGCAGAGAAAGGAGTAAGGAAGCCAGGGAGAACTTGGTTGTTGTACTGAGATTTGAACTCAGGGCCTGTGTTTGTTAGACAGTTGCTCTCCCACATGAATCATGCCAAAGTCCTTTTGGTTTTTATTTTTCAGTGTCTTATCTTTGTTTTCTTAGACCACCCTTTATCTTGGAGCCTCCTTACCTTTATCTCTCAGTAACCTGGAATAACTGAAATCACGGGTGAACACCACCATATCCAGCCCCAGGGAGAAGTTATTTATAATCTTGTAACCCCTAACTGCAGAAGACTCCTATATACATGTATTTCCTACCAGACTGTCAGTTCCAGGGGGGTTGAACTATTCATCTCTTTATACACTTGGTGCTGACCACAGTACATGGAACCTATCAGGAGCTCAGTAACCCTTATTAAATTGTATAGCGCCACTGATAATAGAGAAAAGTACACTACATCAGAAGCACAAAGGAAGACATGGCCAGCTTGGCCCAGGGAGGGCTGGATAAACTGGATTCCAGAGCTACAATGGGTTCTGAACTCAAAGACAAGCTCACCGGCAGAGAAATGACAAAAACTTCCAAATCGGGATCAGGAGGAGCACAGGTACTGAGGTTTGAAAGAACACAGTGCTCTTCTCTTCCCTGTGGTTAGTAGTCAAAGATGAGATGAAAAACAAAAAAATTAGGGCTTTAGAAAATGAGGCCTTTAGCCTTGAGCTGAAGAGCTGGGACAGCATCCAGGCCCAGAGTTCAGGCCCCATGACAGAAAAAAAAAAAAGAAAGAAAGAAGAAAAGAAAATGAGGCCCAGTGGGTCAGGTCCAGACCATGAAAGGCCACCATGCCCACCTACACAAGCCTGTCAGTGAACTTGCCGAAGTAAGAGGGCTTTTTTTGGTTGGTCATGGGGCTTGAACTCTGGGCTGTCCCTGCGCTCCTCAGCTCAAGGCAAGCGCTCTATTGCTTGAGCCACAGTGCCACTTCCGGTTTTCTTTTGGTTTATTGGAGATAAAAGTCTCACAGACTTTCCTGCCCAGGCTGGCTTTGAACCGTGATCCTCAGATCTCAGCCTTCAGAGTAGCTGGGATTGCCGGAGTGAGCCACTGGTGCCCGGCTAGTAAGAGTTTGAAGGTTAAAGGGCAAGGGTCAGGCTTTTAAAAAAGGTTCTAGGACAGCACACAAGTCAAAGTAAATAAACTGAGACTTGCTGAGCCTGGTATCCGTAGCTCAGAACGAGTGCAGTCCCTGGGTGCAGTCCCTGAGTTCAAGGCCCAGCACACAACAACAAAACTGAGTTAGTGGCTACTTGCCTAGCAAACTTGAGCAGAGATGTTTATCCTGCAACTTTACACCCCAGGGGGAAAGACCAGAGTAATTACTTCCATTAAAGCAAAAGATTTCTATCAAACAGCTGTGATTTCAAAGTCCTAATGACCAACAAACCTTTTTTTTTTTTTAAATCTGAAATGGATAGGGAGTTTCTCAGTAGCAGTCCTCTGGAACGCTCTGCTCTGGCCCGTGACCAGCTCTGGCTTTGAGACGCGCGGGGACAGCAGAAGAACCAATCACAGCTTCCCCAGGCCGCAGCGCCCCAGCGAAGACTCGGGTTGCGAATGCGCGTGCGCGCCGGGAGCCCCGCCCCCTGCCTTTAAACCTTACGGCGGGACCGCAGACTCGGCGATAGGACCGCAGGACAGAGCTGCTTGACACTGCCCGGCGGGTGCAAAGGGATCGTAGGCTCCCTACAGCCCTCTCGCCACACTCACTCACCCGCTCTCTGCCGGCTCTCCGGAGCCCCGCAGAGCCAGCAGCCCTCAGATGCCCGGTCGCAGAATTTCCCGCCACCCGGTATGGCTGGGACTGTCCTCGCCTGCGCGGGAAGTGGGGCGGGGCAAGCCGGACTAGTCCACTTGACTGCGGGACGGAGCGGGGAAAGGGGTGACTGGGGCTACAATCAGAAGGGAAGAGAGGACTAGGATTGTTTTTTTATCTGAGTCAATCCCCTGTAGGCATCGGAAAAGTCACAGCGGTATGAATTTCTTGTTGCATTCTAGTGAAAATTAAGGTCCTTGTGAAGACGAGTTTACATTCCTCCCCTTGTAGTCAAGTGGGCCTATTCCGGAGTCCTAAGTGGTTAGTTAGGAAAGTTACGTTTTATTTGGGCCAAAGTGGAGAGCTGAAGAACCGATGGGAGTTATGGTTGTCTGTCATAACTATAGGCATAAGTCTAAAGCTTGTGAAAGCTCCTAAAGGGAAGAGATCAGCAATCATTCATTGTTCAATTGAGAGTCATCTGGAGCATCGCTTGAGGTGATGTATTGTGCCACCAATTAAAGAAGATACGGCCATGAGCTGGTGGCTCAGGCCTGTAATCCTAGCTACTCAGGAAGCTGGCATCTGAGGATTGTGGTTCAAAGCCAGCCCAGGCAGATAGTGCGAGAGAGTCTTATCTGCAATTAACCACCAGGAGACCGGAAGTGGCGCTGTGGCTCAAGTAGTAGAGCACTTTCCTTGAGCTGAAGAGCTCAGGCCCAGAGTTCAAGACCCACGACTGACAAAAAGAGAGAGAGACTAGAGCTAGTGATAAAGCAGAAAGATTCCACTTGGACATTTGCTGTAAATAAATCTTGGAAGGGCAACACTTCCTCCATCCTCCCCTACTTTGCTCCAGGCCATTTGATTTCCTGTTTTTGCCTTAGGTGACCATTCTAGGTGCCATCTGCCAAGGGATGTTAGACAGACAAGCTAAGCTGCTTTATTTTTCTAGATTTGCCCACCCCTTAAAGAGGTTGGGAGCTCCCTGGCCTAAGGAGATCCATTAAGGCAGAATGAACACACAACCCAGCCAGTGGATGTAGACAGGTTTATGTGGCTTTACAGAACAGCTCAAATCCCAGTGTTCACTTTTCTCAGAGTTACTTCCCCTACCCAAGTCCCTGGGGCAAGCATCCCTGAGATAAGTAGGCTACATTATCCCCTTATCTTCCCCCATACTTTTAGGTACCCTTGCATCATGATCTGGGGCCAATACCTCCATTTCCCTCTCCCACCCACCTCCCTTGAGTTCCATCTCCTTGGAATGTCTGGTCTCCTATCTACCATCTGAGAGGACCCCCCAGCTCTTCTGCCTCCTCAGAAATCAAGCACCTGGCACTTGACTGGAAGCAATGTAAAGGGCAGAAACTTAAGGTCTCTGTTCCCTGTGTTCACCAAACCAGGCTGAGGAAGGGACATATACTTTGACACCTCATTTCCCTTCCCTAAGCTCGCATTCCCAAAAACTCAGACACAGCCACACTCATCCACATTCATACACACACACACACACACACCACGGCGAAGGGAGGTGGTAGGGGAGGAAGGGAAGTTGGCACCAACCAGCTTATGAATGCAACTTGAAAGATTTCACACAGCAAAAAGGGAGAGGGAGAGAAAAATACACATACATTAAAAAATAAAGAAGTACATGCCCCTCCCCACAGTCTCTTTCTTCATCTTGGGGCTAGCATGGCCCCTCCACAGAAAGCCGGCAGCTTTCTACTTCCTCTCTCCAGCTGGAGATTTTACAGGGCCTGGGTCTTCAGTTCAACAGGTTCCCCTGTGCCCTCTGGTTGTCCATTGGAGTCACTGGGTCTGGTACCCTTAAGGATAGACAGTCTCTCAGAAACACTCTTGAGCCGGGGGAAGAGGAGAAAGTCGTAGAGGAGGCTGCCTAGCCCCCCTCCAATGATTGGACCCACCCAGTACACCTGTAGGAAGAGGAAAGGAATGTTTAGACTTCAGGGGGAGGACTGGGAGGTAAGGCTGCTTTTCTTCTTCCCCCCTCAGTGGAAAACAAGACATTCTATACACAGTGTCACATGCAACTGGCCATTGTCTTAGCTAGAAGTCACTGCTTTTGTGGTATTGGGGATAGGACTCAGAGCCTTGTGCCTGCTAAGCAAGTACTACACTTCACCCCAGTTTGTTTTAAAACTCTTAAGTTGATCTGGCACTGGTGGCTCATGCCTGTAATCCTAGCTACTGAGGAGGCTGAGATCTGAGGATAGAGGTTCAAAAGTAGTCCAGGATGAAAGTCCGTGAGACTTTTATCTCCAATAAACCTCTCAGAAAACCGTAATTGGTCCAGGGGCTCAAGTGCTAGAGTGCTAGCCTTGAGCTGAAGAGCTGAGGACAGCGCCCAGGCCTAGAGTTCAAGCCCCACAACTGACAAAAAAAAAAGCACAGCCAGCTGGGTAGGAAAGTCCATGAGACTCTTATCCCAATTTACCACCAAAAAACTAGAAGTAGAGCTGGGGCTCAAAGGGCTAGAGCACTAGCCTTGAGCAAAAAAGCTGAGGGACAGTACCTAGGCCCTGAGTTCAAGCCCCCAACGTCACCTAGAAAAAAATTCCCTTATCCTACATATTCTTAGCACATATCTATTATATTTGTTATCAGTTTATATATTTCTTGGAAAAATTTGTAAATTGTGGTAAAATATGCTTTGTGACATAACATTTATCTTATCAAACACTTTAAAGTTTGCAGTTTAGTAATGTTAAGTATATTTACATAAGCCAGGATCCAGGTGACTCATGCCTGTAATCCCAGCTACTCAGGAGGATGTGATCTGAAGATGGAGGTTCAAAACCAGCCCCAGGAAGTAAAGTCTGTCAGACTCTTTTTTCTAAATAACCACCAGGAAGCAGGAAGTAGCTCTGTGGCTCAAAGTGGTAGAGCACTAGTCTTAAGCAAAAAGGCTCAGGTACAGTGCCCAGGCTCTGAGTTTAAGCCCCACAACTGGCACACACACACACACACACACACACACACACACACAAAGTATGTTTACATAATTGTGCAGTCTGTTTCCAGTTTTTTTCCCAGTTGTGAATCTAAAGCTCTACAGCTATTAGATAATAAGTGCCTTTTCCCCCTCCAATTCAGCCCCTGGAAACCACCCTTATACCTTCTGCTTCTACAAAATTGAATAGTCCACAGCACATAAACAGAATTAACTTTTAGTGATTGGCTTATTTTACTTAGTATATATAATGTCCTCAGGGTTCAGGGTTGGTATAATGTCATAAAGGTTGACATGTTGTAGCATGTCAAAACATCCTTCCTTCTTAAGACTGAATAATATTCCATGTAAGTATAGACCACACTTTATTTACCCATTCAGCTATCAAGGGATAGTAGGGTTTCTTCCATCTTTTCTTTATTGTGAATAATGATACTATGAAGATGAGTATGTAGCTTTAAAGGTTTTTAAAAATTATTTTCATGTTTAGTTTGCATATGGCCTAAACAACATAGACATAACCAATATTTGTTAGAGACAAATACTAGATTCTGTGCTAAATGTTCTACACAACTTCATTTTATAGTTAGAGAAACTGAAGCACAGAATGATTGGGTTATTTTCCCAGGATCACACAAAAGACTAGTAAAGTATTAGAATTGAGGGGAAGCTCAGGTCCATTTGCAGTCATGCTCATTCTGACTTTTTTTTTTCTTTTTGGTGCCAGTACCAGGGCTTGAACTCAGAACCTTGCACTCTACCACTTAGTCACACATCTGGTCCAGCATTTTCCTGGTTAGAAATGGAGTCTGGCAGACGTTTCGGCTCAGACGAGCTTTGAACCACTATCCATCCCCCAGATCTCAACCTCCTGAGTAGCTAGGATTACAGGCATGAGCCACTGGTGCTGGGCAAACATCCTGCTTTTTGGGAGTTTCTGTTTGTGTGTGTGTGTGTGTGTATGTGTACATACATACATATATATGTGTGTACATATATATATGTATATATATATGGGGGTAGTTTATTGGAGATAAGAGTTTCATGGATTTTCCTGCCTGGGCTGGCTTTGAACCATGATCCTCAGATCTCAGCCTCCTGAGTAGCTAGGATTAAAGATGTGAGCCATGAGCACCTGGCTTTGTCTTCATATTTTTAGTTGTCTGTCATAGCTTCATTCCGAGGATACTTGGTTAAAATTCTGAAATCCAACAACCCCAAATCCAACTAAAAAAGGAACAATATAAGTAAAAGCTTTTTTGTTGTTGTTTGTTTTAAGATAAGGAGTTCTTTCTATGTTCCCCAGGCTGGCCTCAAACTTCTGTGCTCAAATAATCTTCCATCCTCAGTCTTTATAGACACATACTACCACGTCCAGCTAAGAGCCTCAACTTCTAGTAAAGTAACTCAACCTGCTCACACAGGCATACCACGCTCTCTTGACAGCCCCTTAGCTGTGTGCTGCCCAAAGCAACCAACATATCCAGATGGAAAGCAGGAACCAAACCTGAAACTTGTAGTCCAGCCCCATCCAGAGGGGCTCAAGGATCTTAACCCTTACTCACCCAGTGGTTGGTGAAGTTCCGGGTAAGAATGGCAGGAGCAAAGGAGCGGGCAGGATTCATCCCTGCACCAGTATAATACATCTGCAAGAGACAAGATTGTAACTGAGACTCGCCCCTCCCACTCAGCTTCTCTCCTCACAGACCACCATTGACAGCTGCTAGCTAGTCTCCAGCCAGCAGCCAGTAAGAACAGACAAAGCTACAAGACTTTCCTCCTGGGGTTCCCTTAGTGGATGGGGATGCTGAAACTAGGGACCAACAGTGGGCCCAGACGCAAAGTTCTAGTCTACCCATGTATTTTTCTTTGGATGAAGAAGGACTAGATATTGTCACAAAAGTAGGGCAGGATTGAATCCTCTAGGCTGAGTGATAGAGGGAGGTAGATAAGGTTCATGTTTGATCATGGAATGGGCCTGGTGGCTTACACCTGAAATCCTAGCTAGGCAGGAAGCTGAGATCTGAGGATCATGGTTCAAAACCAGCCCAGGTAG